AAAAACTTCAATTATTCAACATGTTCCTGTCTGTATTTTTGCCTCATTGCCTTGCCTGTTTTCTTTTCCTTTTGATATTATTACCATTCTACATTTCCTTTGTTGTCATCATCACTCTATGAATTTTGAGTTTATTTCATTCATTTCACCCTGGAATTATTTATTTAATTCAGAATTTTGTGTGCAGACTCCGGTGGAACATGCAAATAAGGGGATTGAAGCAGTTCCCCAGTCAACAACTGCAACACCAAACTCCACAACCAATGTTTCAGATGTGAGAAAATTTGTAATTTTTTTTTTTTTTTGGTTTTTTTTGTATGTGTTCTAACTTCTAATATTATGCACAAATGTTAAAAAGTTTCCTTTTGTTTTGATTTTGGTGTGATTAAAACATGCATATTCACTCACTTGATTTTCCTCTGCAGATAAAAACAGTCAAAGTTAGCAATGTCTCTCAAGCTATTTCTGACAGGGATATCAAAGAATTCTTTTCATTCTCTGGAGATATACAATATGTTGAAATGCAAAGGTTCACATTTTTTTATAATTATATTGGTGACAGTGTTATTAGGTTTGTTATTCTAAAAAATTTGGTGGTATCTTTTTGCAGAGAAACTGAAAACACCCAGCTTGCCTATGTTACCTTCAAGGATTCACAAGGAGCAGATACAGCAGTTCTCCTCTCGGTATGTTCACTTTTTCATAACGGTGGTCAGACGTTTGTTCTTATATTTTTTTCTGAATTTTTTGATGCAGTAAATGTTTTGTGAGGCAGTTGCAGGGTTCTGTCATTTGATTAGTAATGTGTTTTGTAAATTTTAAAATTCAGGGAGCCACCGTAGCTGATCTTTCTGTCACCATTACGCCAGTTGACGATTATAAGCTGCCACCTGAAGCTGTCCCACTCCCATCAAGCCCGGTAAATACCATGGCATGCATCCATATCTGTATTATCTTCCAACCATTTAGTCTTGTGTAGCGTGAAATTGGAGGTCAAACTTTCAGTCTAGTGGTGTTTCAAGAGTGCAACACTAATTTTTTAGCCTATGAAGATTTTCTGTTGCTTAATAGCCTGAAGCATGTACACAAATACATGTGAATTTCTTGTTTTAATTGGTCCCAGAAAGCAATTGTTTCTTACTAAATATGTATTCCCCTTTGAAGGAGAAAAAGCCTGCTGTGGCTATTTCTGCTGTAAGGAAGGCAGAAGCTGTGGCCAGCGCTATGCTTGCCAAGGGTTACATCTTAGGAAAGGATGCCATTAACAAGGCAAAAGCCTTTGATGAGAGGCATCAACTAATGTCAAATGCCTCTGCCACAGTTGTTACAATTGACCAGAAGATGGGTCTGATGGAGAAGCTAAGGGCTGGAACAGCTGTTGTCAATGAAAAGGTGAGGGAGATGGATCAAAGGTTCATGGTCTCGGAAAAGACCAAATCTGCCTTTGCTGTTGCTGAGCAGAAGGCAAGCAGTGCAGGGTCTGCTCTCATGAGCAACCCTTACATATTGACCGGAGCTTCGTGGGTTTCAAATGCACTCAGCGCAGTTTCAAAGGTAGCTGAGGATGTGGGCATGATGACCAAGGAGAAGGTGGACAGGGCGGAGGAGGAGAAAAAGGAGATCGAACACCGGCAGAGGACAGAGGTCATCACCGACTTTGCCCAGACCCATCTTGATGAGTCTTCTGGTAGGGTTCCTCCTGCAGTTTCAACCAGTTATCCCGATGACACGAAGCTGGGAGTTAAATGATCGGTCTGGACAAAATGGATGAATTATTGTTCTGTTTGCTGTATCATATGGTTTTGTACAAGGAGTCTGTTGCATACAAGAATTGTACACTACATAGCCTGTTGTAAAGTCATGCTTATGGTTCGAGGTGAGAGTTAAGTTAATTGTTTACAAAACTGTATAGCAACTAGATGAAATGCAGGTGTTCATTTATTTTCTTTCTAACTTCAAATTAATTTTACTTTTATTTTTAATAATAGAGCAATCACACGTTAACTGAGTAAACAATGCCTCTGCAGTATCGATCCTATTAAATTCTGTCATTTATCTTTACTGGTCTGGCTGGAACAATATTTTGAATGGTCAACAAACAGAATTATAAAGCTTACTCGTTTGCTTGCTTAAGGACATATAAACCTTCCAACTTTAGGGGGGCATGTCAAAGCCCTCAAAAATAGTCTGCATAGACATTCAAGGTATCATGATGCTTAAATTCTTAGCAAAGCAGCTATTGTATGGTATATAATGACGCATGCTAGAAACAGAGCAGTAAAACATTCGTGGTGAGTAGTGAAGAACTTTTCAAACATAAATTCATACAGTTTACTTTTGGTCATTGGAGACCATCAGATATTATTACAAATTCTGTACTTATATGAAATGTTTACAAGTAGCTGCACGGTCGTCTTAATTGACCAAAAAATCAGATTTGTTTTGTTACCTATTGATCAGGCTTTACATTGATCTACCTTCCATCCATCTCTTTTGATGAGGTAGTCGGCAAACAGAAGTCACACATAATGTAACAACCACTCTAGGCTCTGTTAAAGTTAGCACATCATCAGCACCTATCAACTATCTTAAAATGACAATATATTCAAAATATTAAGAAAAACAGAAAAGAAATGATGCTGTGCTAGATGGCGCGATAGTTGACTTGCAACCAGAAATCTTAGTAAGTTAATTGGAGAAATGAAAATGTAAAATTATTGAACTTTATAATATCTCATGTTTTATCCTTACCTCTATGCATTCATGTAAATCATCACCTTCTGTTCTCACATGAGTCTGCAAAGCCATAAGATCGCATCAATGAGATATCAAGAACCACAGGTGTTCTTCATGATGACATAATGGCATCCCTCTACATTATAATTCAATGTAGTTTAAAAGAAAAATGCTGGCAGTTACCTCTATGACTCGTTGGCGGGACGCCTCATGATTGCCTTCTAAAGAAGCAAGGATGACAAGCGCAGCTGCAACTGTTGAAGGCCAGTAACGAAGTTGCACATGGTCAGACATCTGCAGCACTGCCAAGTACTTGGCTCTCTTCTCCACTTGGGCATCAGCTCTAGCAGCTCTCAGGTAGAACCTATGTTATCCAATTAGTTCATGGAATGAAGATGTCATGAACCTCTCAAATCAGAGACATTTTCTTTGCCCATAAAAAATAAAAATAAAACATAAGTTGAATGATAATCTAGATATACAGAGAAAGAAGATCAGGAGCCTGAGTTTGCCAGGTTGTCAATGCAAGAGAAGCAGCATGCATTTGTCTAGTGTAGTACTTTGGAGAAAATGGGAGACTGAGAGTTACCATAAGAAGTTATAGATGGTGGGCAGAAAACACTGGAAGCTGAGGACCTCCTGAACTAGCCATTCCATAGCAACCACTTCACCTCTGCTGTACACATTGCTTCCTACATGGAAATCCCTTTTCCGCACGCTGAAATGGCCATCACAAAGGTCTATTTAGAAGGTAATTATGATGCGTCCTGCTTTGACATGTCTCAATTACATTCTTATTGAAGTACCAAAAGGGGGTGTGGGTTAGCTTTAAGTTTGAGCTCTAAGCAACTTCGCAGTTTCTCTAATACATTCATTTCCAGACAAATCACTAACAGAAGGAATTGGACTGCCTGAACTTCTGATTTTTGGTATTCATCTATAGTAATGCTTTAATTTCCACACAAAAAAAAGGGGCTAAAAAACACCTCAACACCAGATTTATGAGGAAATAGACTAGGTAGAAATGCATGAATGATATAAAAAGTATAAAGATATACCAGTTGTAGGGCTGATTTTCTTCTATTCTGGTGGCTAGAGTTAGACAGGCTATTCCAACAATCTGAAGGATCCTTTTGCTCTTGAAAAATCCTTTGCTTAAGAATCGGTCAAGGAGGCTAACTCCTAGAAACTTCGTTTCCTGCTGTAGCTTCGTTTGATTCGATCGCTGCTTGTTGAAAGCCAATCAGAAGCACCGCATTAACGCAATAACAAGAGATAATAAAACGTTAATTATAAGAAATACAGAGCTAGCCTATGCACCCTCTCCCCCACAGGAAACGGAATATTGGAGTTTTACGTGAAAATTAACCACTATAATGATGAGGGTGAACACTATTTTTAACTAAAAAAAAAACTAAGTAAATTTAGGTTTTAGCCAAAAAAAAACATAGCCACCACCCAATATACTCATGTGCAACACAACAATTCTATACATGCTAGTCAAAATAACATAACAATCTTAACAATTTCAAGCACATGTAAAGCAAACATTGCATTCACCATTTTACTTTTTAAATCTCTTGTACACTAACAATATTCAACATTCCATTAAAGTAACAAACTAACAATACAATTATATTAAATGTTGATATAAATAGTGGGAAGAAACATAATAGTAAATGATCATTACCAATATAAAACTCCTTGTGCCAAAATAAATAAATAATAATATGCAGTTTAGTTCGATTTAGCTTGTTCTTATATAGAATGAATTGAACTAAACCAAACTAATTATGAATTAATTTAATTCCTTTTTTTTTTTTTTTTTTTTTTATAGAAATGGAACCAAATCGATCCAATTACTTAATTGGCCGTTTGGATATCCACCCTAGTCAGTATGCTGTGTGCAAGTTCTTTGAAATTAATCGCACCTACTCAAAAAATCGTGGAGTGTATAGACTTGTCCAACAAGTAACAAGTGCCCCTCAACAAATGTTATATACGCACCATCACTGGTGCGAATGCACGTGCTACTACTGCGTTCTAAGTGTGGGGCAACGTGGAAGTAGTTAAGCTAAGAAGGATTACCACAAAATTGAATTTGGACACGTAAATGTATCAAATTTACATAAAATCATTTTTCGCACAAATGTATCAAATTAATCTCCCTACACATTACAAATGTGTATTACTTTGGCCAATAGGAGAAAAGCGAAACTAGTGATGTGCCAGTACCTGTGATAAAAAGTACATGAATGATCCTAAGATAAAAACTAGTAATGCATTCAGTTTCAGTGCCAAACACATCCATTCGATGACGTGGCACAGATTTGATTGGATGTTAAATGGTTGTAGAATATCGTCAATGTAGATAGTATGTGCTACTTTAACGGCATGTACTTCCATAAACGCGTGCAGGTCCAATTTCCAAACAGAACTAATTACGACGCTTAATTGAACTACGACCAAATTTAAATAGATAAAAACGACGATTAGTTGAACTTCGACCTTATTTAAATATAGAAAACGACGATTAATTGAACTTAATCAGTGAAACGTGAATTTCGGTAAAGCCAATCACCTCGACGATCCAACGGACCATTTGCCACCGTTGCTGGAGGATAAGATCGCCGCATTCCGTCGTGGAAGAGTACTCCTCCGTGTAGTCTTGCAAAAATACTTGTATCCTCTCTCTGTTCCTAAGCAGCTGATAGCTCGCTTCGTCCTCCTCGTCTTCGAACTTAAGAAACTAAAATAATATTATTAAAATAACAAAAATCAATACAGAAGCAGTAATGAAAAAAGAAAAAAAATCAACAATCTATTTCTGTTTGGTTGGCGAGAAAGTGCAGGAAATCAAGGGAAAATTAAGATCGTAATTCTAAACTTGATAAAACTTACTGTGTAATCATCCTTATACAGTTCCTTAACGCAGGAAGCAGCAATGAAATATAAAGCAGTGCTCGATCTCGTAAATTCTTCTCTGTATTGAAGGAGCAAGGTGAAAGTAGGTGAATGAGTTGAATCTTCATCCGAGCGCTCCGAGAATTCGCTTCCAGAATTGAAGAAAATAGACGGAGTGTACTCTGAGAGACTGAGCTCGGAATTTTCGTCGAAAATATTCGATTGGAGCTCCGACAATGTCTGACTCGAAGAGTACTCTGGGACGTCGTCGTAGGAGAACTGCTCCTTACAAGCAAGGTCAGAATCGATTTGCAAGCTGTCTGGCCTCTGCTCTATCCTCGATTCAGAGTTTGAAATTACGAAATTTTCACCGAAGTAGTTTTCCGAAATTCCAGGGAATTCAAATTCCGGTGCTCTGTTTTCGCCGTCTTCGACCGTTTTCTCTGCTAATTTCGATTCAGAGCAAAATTCGATGCCAGAGTTGAATGACGTAACTTTGTTTTCCTTGAATTCCAATGAGACCTTATCGGACTCGGAAATCTCTGGTCTACTAACTGCTTCAGAACCTTCGTTTCCTCCAATTTCGTTCACAATTTCACTTCCTTTTCCTCTCTTACTCTTTAGCTTCAACTTTCTGTCTACGAAACCCCCAAAATCAGCTCCAGAATTGGACTCCACACACGACGACTCAGAAACCTCTGGTTCGCCGTCTCCACCGACCTCTTTCTTCTCCGCCTTTCCTCCATAATACGATCTAGTAACTCTACGAAACAGTATTTTACGGTGTTTCTCAGTTTCTTCGAAGTGTCTCTTCCTCAAACTCGACCTCGCCTCGCTCTCAGATCCAACGGAAACTCTGCTTGACTCGCACGAAATTTCACCGCCGAAGTACGAGCACGAGTTCGAGTTCACAGAGAAGGAAGAGAAACCAGAGGTCTCACTGGGGGCATTGAACTTGAGAGACGAGTACAGAACCGGAGAGATCTGAGATCGCCTCCGGCGAGGGAGCTCCGACCGGAGCTTCTTCTTCGTCTTGAGGTACGGCGCCGTTTGGAGGTTTTGCATCGCTTGGATCGATTTAAACTTCATTTTGGAATTAGCTTTGAAATTCGAATTTCTGAATTTATTTGCAGTGAGTGTGAGGGCTGTTTGGTTGGTTTTAGTGGAGAGTGAGAAATGGAAGAGAGGGAAGGGAGGAGAGTGTGTTCAAGTAAGCGGTTACGGAAGTTGGGGACTGGAGGTCCTCTTTCGTCCTTTCGTGGCCCCACGACTCATGTCAAATTTTCCCATGAATTCGTACATTCTACATTGTGTGACGAGGTCCTCTTTGGTCTTTTTGTATATTCTGTGTGCGTTCTTTTTACGTTAATGATTGGTTTGATGTGGCATATGGGCCGCCCTCTTTAGCATTACTTGATACGCAAGGCGCAACTCTTCTGTTTTGCAAAGTGAATATTATTGATAATATTATACCAAGGCCATTTCAACTTTAACCCTCCCCCTCCCCGCAAGGTCTCTCTTCAAAAATAAAAATTAAAAAAATAAATAATATGGTACTGTCACTTAAAAATTTGTTACAATGTGCGACTATGTGATCTTCTAGAAAAAGTAATATTCATACCTCGAATGAGAAAATACCCTTAAAAAAGATTATGTAAGCCCTTCTAGTTACTGCAGGTGGTAAAGTTGATAACATTGTGATTAGTAAGTAGAATAAAAAAGCAGAACATTTCTTCTTGCCAAGAGTAAGTGAAATACAGCAATACAGAAAGAAAATAACCATATAGCCAGAAGAATCAACAAATTAATGCCATCGTTTGCACATCTGAACTTCTACTTGAGCAAAAGGGAAAAAGAAAGGCAGAATAAAAACTGGTTTTGGTGACTAGTCTAGTGGTAAAAGGGGGTTGTGAAATACAAATCTACATGAGCTTGTAGTAGCAGTTGCCCCCAGCAAGAAGGAACTGATAGGGGACGCCACAGTGGCACCTGAAATGAATGACTAAGCCATCCCCCATCCTCTCCACGCTCACAGATTCTGCAAAATTTATGTCACTACCGACCTGCAACTGCAACATCAAATTCATCAACGGAAAGAAAGAGATGATGATGATGATGATGATGATATCAATGGAATTCTAAGTCCGAACCCAATACTTGTGAAAAAGGATTTGTAATTTCTAAGTTCTTGTGAACCAACCAACCAACTAGTTGTTGTAAAGATATGATTAAAATATGATGAGTTAGAGTTACCAACCTCAGTAGTGTCTCCATTTTGTTGATGATGTTGTTCTTGAGGAGGTTCCAGTTCCACTTCTTCTTCTTCTTCCTCCTCATCATCTTCATTTTCACGCATGACTTGTTGGAACCACAGGCTCATCTCTCTGACGCGATCTTTTATCCTTCTAAGCCTCTGCAAATATAATAAAAATTCATTTTCAAGAACCATGCGTTCATATGAAAGATACGGATGAAATTCGAAGTCATCAAGAGAATGAAAGATGGAGGTGAAGGAAGAAAACCTTAGAATTGGGAGTGGCGTCGTCGTCGTCATCGTCTTCGTCACCAGAGGAGGAGGACGAGGATTGACGGGAGATGGTTTTGAGAGCAGGCGAACACGAAGAAGGCTTGGGATTGGAAACGGAGCGGCGGAGTGTGGAGGCATAGGCAGAGAAAGCGGCCGCGCCAGAGGCTTTATCGGTTGAGGCAGAGGCAGGAGAGGCTGCGTTGGGGCACTGCAGCTGATTGTGATGAGAATTAAAAGAATAAAATGGAGGAGGAGGAGGAGGAGGAGAGGTTGGGTTGAAGCGTTCGGAACTGCAGCGGCGAAGAAGAGGATTAGGAGGGAGATCAAGCTTCTCTTTCTTGGGGTTGGGTTGGGATATTGGTGGGGATTGGGACGGGGATCGCCTTTTCAATGTTCTCCTGGGCTGGGGACTGGAATTGGGAGATTTGAAGCTGCTGCTGCTGTTGTCAAGGCAGAGCATGGACAAGTGTTTGCCAACCACCGCTGCGTATTCTTCTTCTTCTTCTTCTTCTGGTTGTGGGTTCTTAATGTTCTGGTCACTGCATTCAGCCATTAATTCTTCTTCAACGAATTCTTCTTCTTCTTCTTCTTCTGGTAGGGAGGGAGGGAGAGATTCTTGAAATTCTTGAATCTTTTATTTTAATAATTGGATGCAGAGTTGAGAATAAAATGCCTCCTCTCTCTTATATATAAACATAGCGACGCATATATTTAACGGCCTACGAGAGTCTGTTTTCAACTTTCAACTTTGACGGTTGATGAAAGTAACTAACTCTGTCTGAACGAAAGGAAAACCCAGATAGACGATGATTTAGGCGCAAATTAAAGGACGTTCGCTCATAAACATAACTCATAAGATAAATCTCTCATACAATTAATTTAGCATGCGATTCTGCATCAGCAAAGCCCGTCTAGCTCAGTTGGTAGAGCGCAAGGCTCTTAACCTTGTGGTCGTGGGTTCGAGCCCCACGGTGGGCGACTAATGTTCTTGTTTTAATATTTTCCTTTTCTTATGCAAATGAGCGGAGGAGGGTTTTGAGTTGTTGCAGATGCTAATGATGTTCAACCATTTATTATTCCACATAATTCAAAGACATGTATGCTTCTTGGCTTAAAGCAAAGTAGGAACAAAGTCAATTCAACGGAATGTCTCACCAAAATAAATTAAGTTCAACGAGTAACCTAAAGAAAGCATGTATACCCCCAGTTAGGTTCACCCACAATTACAACTGACATCACGAAAAATAATCCACAATACCATCATAGTACAGTTAACCAAACCATCATTCTCATTCATCTAGGGTTGCCAGATTTTTGCTTTGCCTTCTCAATAAGAGGCTTCAGCTGCTTCTTCTCAGCAAGAATCTTGAGGAAGTTAAACAAAAAGGGTATGTAGTTGTGCTTCCGGCGAATATTTTCTGTCCTCCACTTCTTAAATTTTTCTTCTTCCATCAAGATCTTCTCAGTAGCGCCCTCGATCCCAGCATTAATTTCTGAAAGACCTTTGTTCAGCACTTCAAATTTGCTACTGTCGGCCGGTCTCTCTGATTGTATGGCAGACAGCTGCTGCAAAATACGCTCCCTCTTCTTTTGGAGTTCCTTAAGTTCAGCAGTATACATCTCTTTCCTGTTCTTTATTATGGCCAAGAGATTGAATCTTATCTCACTTTTGGAATACCTTTCAATGCGCTCCTGGATTACAGGTTGTACCATCTGCAGCCATTCCATGTCACCTTGCCCACCAGGGCACTGTCCAAGGCTAATCGGCCCCTCCTTCAATCCATCAAGCTCATACAGGACCCCATCAACAGGCAAGTAGCTTATAAAATGGTAGACATCGTCATCTTTTTCAGCTACCTTCTGCTCCTCAGGAATAAACGGCTCAGGCCTTGCAAAACTATTATGGGCTGCACGGATAGCATCGCTGTTATTTATCGCCAGCCCTTTCAGTTCAGGTGGAAAATTCTTTGTAAACTCTTTCAGTTTTGACAGTTCAGGACCAATGTCAACATCTGGACAGTTCATGAGGATAGACAAGATTGCTTGGGTGGCACAAGCATTATTAATAACCTATGAGGATATAAAAAGTATAAGATCAGAAGAGCTTACAAATGTTTCATTACTCTAGAAAAATACATTGTCATGAACACCAACCTGGCTTGCAAAAAACAAATTAGGATTTGGATCCTTAATTACAAGGCGATCATCCCTTTCCCCTGGACGCCATTTGAATAGGAAAATCAAACCGTACACCGGCCTGTAAGTTGCAAGAGAAAAAAGAGTAACTACAACATCGATACTAAAGATTTAAACTTAAACATTTGCTATAGTGGAAATGAGGATATCTGCCTGGGAGATGGAAGCTTAAACGGCCCTTATGTACCTCAGATTGTTCAGAGAATCAAGGTCCAATGAATACAACTCCTCAACCTGCAAGGCCACACCAAGGGCATCATGGCATACGTGAAAGAAGTGAACTATAATCCAAGTCACAACATTACACTTGGACTCTGACAACCATGAAAATTAAGTAAACAATTTCTTTGAAAAGTAATACTTCAACATAGCTTAGTGAAGAAAAAGGGGTTAAGCATTGGATATAGTTTACATTTTTTAGTTAAAGATAAAGGATGAAGTGTTGGATATAATCAATATCACAACAAAAGGAGCGAAGACATCTCCAAGAAGCACTTGCAGCCTAAGCTCAAGCAGTAACAGTAGAAATCAACCCATAAACTAAGATCAGTGCAGGGTAAGCATAAAAATAAAATAAAAAAGGAAACAAAGAAGGCTTACCTGCACGCCTTTTACTTGCATCTGCTGAATAAGTTCTGTAAACACCCCTGAAATGCAAAGTAGAACCTTCAAAATACTAGTACAGTCCATTTATACTATAGCTGTTTATATTTTTTGAAAATAATAAATGCGTTATAAATTATCCAAATCCTATACACTATCACTCTGCATCATCAAATCATAACTTTCATCATCCATACAATCCCAAATGTATTTTTTTTAAACAAAAATTATGGTCATCAAGCAAGTGTTGTCAACAATTTAGGCTTCCACTCATACATGTAAAGATACAAGAGAAAAGCTTGTTTAGAAGTCAAATTGGAATTTCTCCAAGTTTCTTTGAACTCAATAAAGCATGTCAGGTCTGCCAGTGCAATTTCTATATCGAAACAAAGAGTGAATACAGCTCCATGTCAAGATTTACGCTCAAAAGAGGGACTGGCGAGCTGATATCAAGATATGAAAGGCATTTAATGTAGGAGCAACATCAGGAAGTATAACAGAACGTGATAAAGATATTACAATTTATCAGCGTGAATAGATGCTCACCTAAACTTTCACACACACACAAACAACAAATTTTTCTGAAATTTACCTGGGTCGGACTCAATCGTGCACCAAGACATGGTGAAAAGTACTTAATCTGATAAGAAAGAAAAAGATGTATTCAAGATTCAAGACACGTCAGGGAAAAACAATGAAGAAACGTATAAATTTATGAGCTTCAATTGAGTTCCGGGCACAAGTTCAGCAAAAATTTAACAAAATTGCATGTATATATTAACAAAGAGCAACATAAAGCAAAGCCAAGTGCCAGACCAACAAACAAATTACGACAAACCTACTATTTTTATGAAAAGAACAAAACTTTTTTGTTGTATTTTATAATGCTGCAATTGACTAAGCACAAGAATCCCCAATTCAAACAAAGAGGGTTTTATTCCTCAATTTCGGTTCGAAACGGGGAGGTTAGCAAGTTCCCTGAGTAAGAACCAGTGGGAAACGAGGAAGAAGAGAAACTCACCAGAAATCAAGACGAACGACGTCGTCAGCCTCCTCCACCGCTCCTTCTCTCTCTCTTTCAGTCTTCCTTGTGAGATTTTGAACCCGTAGTCTGTTTCTCGTCTCTATTCCTTCCCCTTGTTATTCTTTTCGGTTCATAATCTCTTTTTTTGGCTCCCAGCTTTTTATTTTGAAGTAAAGCCCAGTGAAAAACTCGCCTCAAATAAAGCCCAAAATAAAAATTAAATGACAATGGCCCAGTACAATAAATCTTCTTGGCCCAGTCCATTGTTGCAGGGGCTAGGGTTTAGCCGCCCCACGCTATAAAAAGGGTATCTTAGGTGAACAGCGTTGCAGACTCTCACCGACGCTGAGGAGGTTTGTGGATGTTTTGAGTGACTGATTTTTCTAGTTTGGGTTTTGAGGTTGTATGAAATGATATCTTCTTTTGCTTCTAATGATGATGTTTCTACAAAACTTTCGTTCTCCTGAGCTTATCAGTGCTGAGAAACTGGAGACCTGAACTGAAGAGCATTCTAAGAAGATATATATTTTTCTTTCGTCTTGATTTTGAATTTGATTCTTTTGTTTGCTTTTTGTTAATAGTTGTTAGCTGTGGGTTTTCCGAGTAACTTTGCTGTGTTTATTAAAGAAGATCTTCTTTTGTTTCTAATGATGAAACATTCAATTCTCCTGAGCTTATTAATGCTGAAAATCTGGAGACCTGAACTGAAGAACATCACGAGAAGATATTCTTTATATAATTCGTTCTGTATCAGCATCTGCTGTCTTTGAATCGTTGATTTGCTATTTTCTTCCTTAATCGTTTGTGCTTCTTTCGTTGAGTCTATTTTTGTGATTGATGTACGGTAAATTAGCCCCTCCAAAATCTGATGCATTTTTCTGCTAAACTTGTTGAGAACGGTAAAATCCAGATTGGTGAATGAGCGAGCGTTTGGACTAATTAATAAAGGAAAAGTTGATTGGACCCAAAATTTTAAAAACGAAGCTGAAAGAGATCTAAAACCCCAAGAAGCAGCGTAATAAGGCTTTGGTCAAGGCAACCCATGGGCTCAAAAAACATTTCAAACCCATTGCCTAGAAACATAGCCCCGAGGCCACGCACAGAGAGGGGAGCCTCTATAACGAGGGGTTACAACATACAACGAGGGGGTTCAATTCAATAATTCTGCATTGAATCATACAAGTATTAAGTACCCTCTCGTTATAACCCCTCACTATAGCCCCTTCTAGTCTCTGTGCCTCTGCACACAGAGACCATCATGACAAAGGAAATTTTGTGTTTGTTTGCACAGTAGAGAGAGAGAGAGGCATGAAATGGAAAGGAAATACTTTCAGCAAATCATTTTTTATGTAAAATGGGTTGAATGAGCTTTGAGGGTATGATCTGAAAAATAAAGCGAAGATAAAGCCAACTTTATAATTATTGTTATCCGTACTACTATCTGTAATGTTATTTTGCTAGTGGCATTACAGATGGACAAGTTCATATCTAGATTGCTACAGATTCCTTCTCTCTGTTCCTCTTTTCTTCCGTGACTTTTTTTCTTTTTCATATCTAGATTGCTACAGATTCCTTCTCTTTGATGTTTAATTGCACTGTCACTGACTCGCTGTGCCCGAGCAAAGGTAAAGCAAAAAGGTTGGCGCAAAAGCCTTCTTTATTTGTGGCGCATGCTAGACATACATAGTGATCAGATCAGATTCCATGTTTTAACTGGTATACTTCCACAC